AAAAAGTATGATATTTGCCTCTGAAATGTAGTGGAGTAAAAGTATAAAGTAGCATTAATTGGAAGTAAATGTTTCACCACTGTGAACAAATAAAGTATGTCGGACCATTGTTTTTTTTCTGTTACTTAAGTCTAAGAGTGGTTTTGCTTTGACAGATAGCCAGCTACTAAACATGTAAAGAAATTAAAATAGCAGTTCATTACCAGTTATCCTTTTCCACAAACTCTTTACATCTTTGTGGTGGGCATTTATTATGGTCATTTATTTTCCACAGTCACAGCAGTGACGGGTGTATCTTTTAGACTATTTTAATATGTGGTGTTGCTTTCAACATGAGTCATTCTACTGGTGTGATGACTGGAAAGTATTTATAGGCTGATCTTAATATTAGAACTCTTTTGCTGGGTCCAATTTAATAACTTGAAATCAATCATTTGTACGCAACTCAAGCCACATTTTGGTTAGATTGTTATTCCTCAACTTCAAGCAAAACATCACAGCCTGCTGCAGTTTCAAAAAAGCTGTTGTGCTGCCTAATTATATTAGCTGCTTTGCCATGCAATAGGATATTTATATATAAAGAGGAATTGTTTACTGTAGATTCTGTTACTTGTTAGGGTGAGAGTAAATTCAACAGATGCTGTCAGCCACACTACATGAACTTGATCTCTGCACATAAAGTTGTTTTCAGAGGATAGACATTTACTGAGATTTATGAGTGTAAGTTTTACAGTTGCAGTCCTCCTGAAGCTGGAGATATGAACAGCGTTTTCTTATATAAAATATATATTGAGTCTGGGACTTTTTGGCAGCATATGTTGTTGCAGAATTGATTAGCGATCAACATAAACTCCTGTGTTGTGCCTCTGTGGTGATTCCATCTTTGCCTTCAATAGTTGGTCCTAGTCAAAGCTCTTCTGAGAGGAGGTTGCCTGCTCACCTCACATGCCCTCTCTATCCTTCTCATTCAATTATCATTTGTCAAGGTAACACAGAATACCATTTTTTTTTTAAAGCGCATTTTTTGATTTTTTAGATTAGTAACAGCCTCACAAGATAAATCTCTCCCTTAAAATCTGGTGCACTTCAGTTTTATTCATTGAAATCGAGCATAGGCTCAGTTTTCACATGTTGCAAAGGTTTGCCTTGCTGTGTAACCTTACGTTTTTACAAACACACACAAATGAACGTTTCAAATTTAAGGCTGCATCAATACATAGCTTTATATTATTTAATATTGGCAATCAATTCATCTATGGAGTAAATGAAAACATTTAAAAAGTGCTGCTTTTTTAAGATAATTATTTCTCAACTGTATTTCCACTCGGCTCCACAGAGCTTACCACCGTCTTTTTACTTAATGTTTTGTTTTTTCACATGCACTTTAATGTTTTGGTTTTGTGAGCGTTGAAACACTCAAACTGGACTTTGAACTAGTGGTAATGCTGGTCTGTATATGCTGGATAAATTAATAGGCAACTGTTTGCTTGCAATTTTCCCATGTCCACTTTTTAACTTAAAAAATAAGTCATTGTTGTGTTTAACCTGTTAAGCCCGGGAGCCCCGGGGGCGGGGGCTCCCGCAACATCTTGCAAGAAACAGCATCTGAGGCCTTCTTAACATTTAACAACCTATTAATGTGTCATACCCACTTAACGGGAAGAAACTCAGCACATAACTCACGGTAGAAATATTGTATACTTCATCGGATCTGCACAAACTAGATATATATGAAAGCTGAGCTTCCAGGCAAGCAGATACAACACACAACTTCACTTTAGAAGAAGATGAAAATACACTTTATTAATCCCTTACAGGGGCATTTCTTTCCCCACTCTGTTGTGTTTACACACATTACACACAAAGGGGAGGATATACATGCACAAACACAGAGGATATACATGCACATGCACAAACACAGAGGATATACATTCACACGCACAAACACATGCAGATAGGAGAGATGGCAGAGCAGAGAGGCTGCCAGGTACCCGGCGCCAAGGGAGCAGTTTCGAGGTTAGGTGCCTTGCTGAAGGGCACCTCGGCAGTGGCCTTGGCGGTGAACTGGGCCACTGCCGCCTCAAAACGGGGCCAAAACGGCAAATACGTCTTACCTTTGCTGTTTTCTAATCAAAAGTTGTGTTTAATGGCATTAAAACGCATATAAACACAGCTGAAGGTTAATCCAATGTCTCTGTGTCCCTTAGAAATGATTACTGATAATCCAGCTTTCAGAGCGTGACATAGCTTTCGGTTTGGGAAAACTGCGTGCGCATCACTCTCACTCCTCAATGGTGACGTGTAGGTGGATTTAGGAACTCCCTCTCGATTCTATTGGCTCTAACGGTTCAAAAGAGGTGTCAATCACCAACATTGACTAATGGGTTCCAGAGATATGGCAAATACACCCAAATGAGGTGTTTATTTTTTCTAAATCTCCCTAAAAAGGTCAAATGTCACTTGTTTTGCATCAATCTTGATACAGGGTACTTATTATATGTTATAGTTTGGATTCCTAAAGCTTTTAGTCTACCATCCCATCATTCAACGGTGGTTTTCACTATAAGTAATGGGAATGTCATTTTCGAGCCTGAGACCTGAAAAACAGGCTCAGGGCTTAACAGGTTAAAGCATTTTGCACTGCCCCCAAGTGGCCAAAAATGACTTTATAGAATGGAATGAATGCACTTCTGTGGCACTTTCTGTGTAACTAAAAGCAGTCCGCATGCAGTTTCTGAGAGAAGGATGTGGGCCTACTTCACCTGCATAAAAGTAGACCTGATTTCAGAGAAATAGAAGCTGAACACTAGAAACAGCTCTGCAGTGTGCGTTCTTCACACCACAGGAACAGTAACAGGTGATTCACCCAAAGCTGCAAATTACCAGCACAAAAATAAATCCAACAAATTAGCTACATATCTTTATTTGACTTTATTTTTTAAATATTGCATTGACATATGAAATGAATGTCTATCTGTTCTTTTAGTAAATACCAACCTCGTTGTGAGTCATTAACACATCTCTGTGTTGGCAGGAAATCTTATACCTTCACATTTAGAATCTGCACTGCACACTCTTTTATATCCTGTGTGCTGGTTTTAGTTATCATTTATTTATCCTTTTAAGCTAAAGCAAATGTTCTTGGATGTATACTGTAGATTTAAATTTTTTATATTTTTGCTGGACTGTGAAGCCGGCTGTATGAGAAGGCACTGAGTGTACCTCACAAACTGACTCCTCATTGTGAGATGCTTATATTCTATCGTAGTTCAACGGAAAACCTGATTTCATCAAAATGTAGTTATTATGGTGCAGTTAAAATGATTGAGACTGTATGATAAAGAAAAGAGGATCAATACGACTGTAATGCCTGTTCGTTTAAGATGAAGCTCAAGCCAGGAGAGGGTTAGCTTAGCAAAAAGGCTGGAAACTGATGAAAACAGCAAGACTGTCTTTTACCAAATGTAACAGCTAAAAGGCAGGTATTCTCTAGCAGGTCAAACTTAAACGATGCAATTTCCCTTTTAAAAAAATGCCTGAATTTGTAGACTTATGGCATACAAATGTGTTTATTCCTTTATTCAACCCTTTCACTCCACTTCCTATTCCAATATATCTTTGTTTAGGGCATAGGGCATTATAGCCCCCTGAAAATGCTTGAGTTATGTCTCTGTCTTTCAGAAAAGAGAGAAAAAGACCTCTTCTACCTTTTATGTGCTGACAGGAAGTCATGGGTCAGAGGTTTCAGTTTTTGCCAAACACAGGCTCTATACAATGTTATCATTTAACCTGGCTTCCTTTCGAGAATTACATTTATACTTACTTGCATTCAAGTAAAAGAGTCACAAGCTGCAAAATGGAAAATGTACCAGAGTAAAAAGATGAATGACATGGAAAAATCTGTGTGAAAATGCCTGAAAATTACAGGCAACTTAGTATACTTGAAGTATTTAGCTGACTCTTGACCTGCTTTACTTTATCTACAACCTGCATCTTCTTATGCTCTAGTTCCTTCCTGCCTTGTCTTGCAGTTCTGTGGTTAACAGTGTCATCTGCAGTGGGTCTTTGCTCCTCAAAAACGTTCACCGTAATAAATAATTCATGGTAAACTGGATGAATGAGTGAGGCAGCAGCTAAGTGCGTGGTCTGCTTTCTATACTGCTGCCATCATTACAGGTTAAACAAAAGCATCCTCAAACAGCAGTTATTGTAGCTGACTCATTGCAAACACTACACATTTTTTTGTTGTGTATTTTTATTCTACAGTGTGTTGAAAATAATCTGAATAAGCCTCCTCTTGTCATGCAATATTTCATCCACAATACATGTAACAGAATTGCATTATGGGGGATTTTACTGACGATGAGCAGTAGCCTTCGGGTTTTTTTAAATGCCTGCAGGGGCTAGGTCACTCTGCTGTCATCGTGCTTAACAACTTTACCGAATTCTTTGACTTCCCGTCACAGCCAACATTCACATGCCTCTTACAGAATCCATGCTCCTACCTGCCTGCAAAGATTAGATGTTTTAAACTAAGAAATCACTGCAACATGCATGTTTTACTTCCTCCTCTTTATTTGATTTGAATGACTAGTCGAATAAAAAGGATAGAAGCCATGTGTGAGTGCATTCCTCCGTGCAGACTGACGTAGACTGGCAGGTCGTGGTGCATTATGTTTTTCTTTCCAAGATGACATCATCCCCGTGGTTGTGGTGACATTGCATCTGCACGCCTCGTGTTAGCATCTGCCAAGGTGACTGCGTGTTAAGAGGTGCGGACAAAATGTGGATTTAATTTATTGCATCTATATCTGCTACGTAGCAAGTCACCAGCTGGTGGAGGAATTGTGCTTGGGTGGAAGTGGAGGAGGGGGGGGGGAATATGTGCATGCATTTGTGAAGAAGCAGGGGGCGTGTATTAGGGGAGGGATATTGTCCTGCCTCCATGCCCTCCGCAGGCAACTGAGGATCTTATTTGACAGCTTCAAGGTGGGAAGTGGATAGACAAAAACAAGAACCGTAGCCCCCATTTTTTTTTTAACCCCCTCCCTTTTTTGGGGGGGAGAAAAATCCAATCATCGCACTGTGGTGGCTGGGTTTGGCTCTTTGTCAGTGCAGGGGGGGCGGGAGGCAAGGCAGGCAGTGTGAATGCATATCATGACCACAATAGAGCAAACGAGCACAGTTCAGCCATGAAAGCCCAGCGGGAGAGGCTGAGAATTCCAGGGCTGACGCTAGAGTGAGTATTTTCCTCCGTTATCCTAGCAGAGAGGCAGCTCCTCTGCAGTGTGTCGCTCCATCTGTCTCTGTGTCATAATTGTTGCTTACCTTCACTGTTGCTTGTGCAGCGTTAGCATTAGCAGAAGCAGCAGCAGCAACAGCATCTGCAGCAGGAAGTCTAATGTCAAATCTTTCACAGCTAGTCAACAGAGGTGTGTGTGTGTGTGTGTGTGTGTGTGTGTGTGTGTGTGTGTGTGTGTGTGTGTGTGTGTGTGTGTGTGTGTGTGTGTACATTTATATTTTCATGCAGGTGTGTGATAACATGTTATGTCAAGGAGTGCCGCAGATGCACGACATGCTTTCTTTGCTAGGGTCACACACTCACATATACAGTGCACATGTGAGCAACACACACATTATCATAACACTCCTATGATGATTGGAAGTGTTTGTTGAATGTGATGAATAAGGCGAAGATCTGTGTGTTTACACGGCAGGTTCCCCTTTTATCCAAGCTAGTCATTTGATATGTTCTTTTTATTTAGGTCAATAAGGTATTTGTTATGGTTCCCTCTATTTGAATGCACAATTGGATTGATAAGTGACTGTTAAATCTGCTTTAAAAATACTCTTTCCATGCAGATTTTATACGTACAGATATATATTTTTTCTAATTATTCCAACATTGTCATGAAAAAACCAAAACCCCAAATTCTGTCTCTCATTACTTTCTGACGTTCTCAGCTCCAAGCCCATTGGTTCCTACTGAAGATGAGTCACAAGTGAAAACTTTGGCTTTTAAGAGGTAATGTTCTTGAAACAGCTGGCCACTGTATTTTGTATCAAACAATACCCAAACAGAAGAAGAATAACAAACAGTCAGGCTTTAAATTAATAAACAATATCTGTAAGTAGGATGCAGTCATCGTTTGTTTTGGTCTTTTTATCGAGTGTCTTAACATAAGAGAAATATAGAAAAATATGCAGGTTTATTATTCTAAAAGTGTATTATGGTCTGCCACTGCAGTAAAAGTTACTCACCTCTATATGACCTAAGGCTCTGCAATGCATCTGTTTAGTTTAAATAGTGTTCAATCCATGATATAGGTAAAGGAAGGTCTTCCTGTATGACTTAAATCACAGAAAATATATATATTCACCTTATTACAAAAAATAATTACTAAAGAATGTGAAATTAGGTTAATCTGTAACTTCCTCTATAGTCTTTGGCCTTTGAGAACACGCGCTTGGCTTTGATTTGAATCTTATTTGAAGCAACTTAGGGGTAGAGACATATTAAACTGTGCATACATGCCACGGGAACCTGCTCTTCAAACACAATGTTGGTTCATGTGACAGGAATCATCACTCATCATGATGATGATGATGATGCTGCTGTCTTCATCTGGGCACGTGTCAGAGCTGTGGGGGGGTTTCTGTCCTGTGTGTGATAAAAGGCAACTATTCACTCCATTCCATTTAACTTACAGCCTAACACCCCGAAGCTTGAGTCCCACTCCCACTAGCCCCTGCAGTCCGTGCAGTCCGCTGCACGCATTTCATTTTTGGAGGTAAGCACTCTTCAACCGTGCCTATGTTGTTTTGAAAGGCCTGTTAGTGCATGTTTGAGTCAGTTTTGTCATCATGCGTCACAAGACTGGAAGTGCACATTCATTTTCCCCCTCCGAAAATCATCTGCCATTGAAATGACATTGAAAGAGGAGGACACAGTGCTTATATAATGTTGATGGTGTCCCCCCTCCCCCCATCTTGGCCCTCTCTGTTCTGAGGTTTATGCTCCTCTTTCATGTGCTAAGTAGGATTTGTGGCATTTGCAATACATCAAAGTGAAGAATTGTCTCAATCGGCTTGAATCCCAGCTGGATTGATTCATTTAGGAGTTAGAGTATTGAAAATGGTTAAATCTAGTTTTAGTTATCTCCGTAATGGTTTGCTATGGAGGATTATATCTTGGATAGTATATGATTAGTTTTAATAAATCTGTATGCTGGTACCTTCAGATTATTTTATGAACATCAAGACTTTTATCCTTTCTGAAAAGATGATTTCTTTAGCGGGTTAATGAACCTGTGGTGTGTGAAATAGCACGTCCTCTCTTTGAACTACATTTCATCCGACAAGAAGCTCTGATTCTGTCCTTTTATTCAGGGACAAGCCTTTTTTCGAGGTAGCTGTTTCCAAAATTGAACCATCTGGTTGCTGCTCCATGTTGCCTAACTGGTGTTTATGTAATGGTTGGTTGCTTGGACATCATAGGCTCCAGAGGCCTGTACTACAAAGCTGGTTCAACCTAACCTGGATATGTTTGAGTTAGCCGGTTGGCCTAATCCAAAACATACGCTAAACTGTCCTACGACGCTGGCTATCAACTCGATCGCTCAAACCAGCCGTGTCCTGTCTAGTTAGGTGCGTGTTCACATGAAAGGGGTGGTATTTGGAGCATTCGACCAATCACAAACATGGACAAGCGTACTGACAGCGCAGCGCGTCATACTTCCTGAATGAAAAGTCAACTATAATATTAGACATATGAAGGAGTTAAACTTTAAACATCCATGACTTAAACACTGTATCCAGGATAAAAGCCTGCAAGGTGAATACAGCTGGTAAAAGAAAAAGTGTTTGAATGCGTACATTAACAGGTTTATGATATCACTGCCCCGTCTAAGACAGGAGTGGATTTGTCTCAAGTGTTTCGTCAACTTAATGTGTTTGTGACGAAGGTAACTTCAGCTTCACAATTGGTGTCAGAAGTGGGATTGACCAAGTGAGGAGGTGAGAGTGATGGAGGAACTGAGGGAGATGATGAGGTCACTCCTGCAGCTTCAGGTAGCCGGTGAGCAGCAATTTGCACGGGAAGAGGAACGGAGACTCCGGAGGCAAAGCGGCAGATTGGCTAGAGGCTCGACGGGCACTAACTCTGCTGCTGAGGCATCAAAGATCCTGGCGGAGAACCAGAAATTGATGTGGGAGCAGAAAGAGGAGATGCGCTTAGTGGAGGAGGCTCGTCTGATACGCCTGGAGGAGGAGAAGAAACTGGCAGAAGAGAAGATCCGTCAGGAGAGAGAGCGTCAGCAGATGGAGGAGCTGGAGAGACGGAAACAGAGACAGGCAGCGCTTGCGGCCCAGAAGGCCAGAAAGGAGGAAGAAGAATCGAGACGGGATGAGCTGGTAAAAATCCTGGAGGGGAATAACCGCAAGCTGAAGAGGGAACTTGAGCGAGCGGCCGCTAAGAAAATGGAGACGGTGAACCGCAGCCTACAGCGTCACCTGCAGCGCAGCACGGAGGAGAAGGAGGAGCGCGAGAGGGAGCTCATCAGCATGACGCAGCAGATGGCCACGCTGATGCTACTGCAGCGGTCCCGGGCGGATCCCGCTCAGCGGGAGAGGCCGCAGTCCTGGCTCTTTGAGAAGAGCGTAGAGATCCAGAACCTCAGGATGAATTATATGAAACCTCAGGAAACACCGGGCGGAGTGGAGACACATTGGAGGGGGGACAAGAATGGCCAGAAACGGTTAGACACACTGTGCTTCCTGGCATACTTGCCAAGCTTTAGACCTCAGAAATCGGGAGCATTTTTTTTGGGGTGGGTGGGGGGTGCTAGTGGATTACCGGGAGATGTTAGATTAACATGCT